GCCAGTTCGATCTCCAGACCTAAATCCCATTGAGCATGTATGGGTCAATCTAGGACGGTGGATTTCATTCCTCCAATACCCTCCTAGAAACAGTCATGAACTAGAAACATCCTTAACACAAGAGTGGGCGTTGTTTCCACAGGAGCTGATGAACTCCCTAATTTTTAGTATGGGTCGCCGATGTCTATCAGCCTAAGGTGATCACACTCCATATTAACAACAATATCCAAGATATTTATGCACTGACTGCATGAAGATCATTGATTGACAGGTTAATTTGCATAAAATACGTGTTGGATATAATTGAGACCGGGTATTTTAATCAATAATGGATTAATAAATTTGTGTATAAAATATCATTGATAAATGTTAAATAAAATTTGAGATAAATGAAAAAAAGATGTTGTTCCCTCAATTTTGCGGGCCAGTGTAATTAGACTAGCAATATATGAAATGTATCTCTCTAAATTGATATATGTTGTTTTCTAGAAAGGAATAGTGATTCTGGATGCTTACCCGAACCTACTGAGATTGCTTAGATGATAGTATCTCTTCACATGTGGAAGTCTTGTTTTTACAACCTTGATTTGTATCTTTCCCTAGCATATCTCCAGATCAGATATAAATACAACGCTCATAGCATTGCAATTTTTTTTTAAAAATAAATTTCATAAAAACAACAAAATATATATTCTTCTAAATTTTAAAAAAATTACCTTTTTCCTACTAAAAATCTCTATAATCTATTTTAAATTCCTAAATCCAGACTTTAAGGTGAAAACCCCTCAGGATGTTGTTCATATTTTTCATTTAGGTTTACATCAATATATCAAATTCCAACCTGAAACTATGATGTTCATATTGTTTATCGAGGTATGATGATCCTTTTTATCTCCATTTTGATTCTGAATACAATAAAGAATCATGAGAGATTAACGTGATTATATGAGGCCGTGTGTTATCATGATCAATCATCCCATTCTTTGAAAATCCCTTTTAAAAATATTTAAGGCTAATTGCTCTAGTGGTGTCTGTCCAATACACAATAGTGAAGAGATCTGGAGATTAAAATGACGAAACCACTAGGAAGGTTCACTACTGATAATCCGTACCTTCCATCTTTCCATTTTCTTCATTCCAGGATAAAGGCTGTAGAAATAATTTCTAATTATATATATTTTATAAGAAAAGTAGGGTTAAAATGTTTATAATTTTCAGCGATAGATGGCGCTAATCAATTATGATATTTTAACCGATTGCTTCATCAAACCTCTTTAAAATATGCAAGCATCATGGATTTTGTGAATTTCAGAACTTATGGAACAAATTTACAGTGTGAAATGTGAAATTTTATAATGATTTATCCAGTTGTATTTTAATGGATAAGAGAAAAACTTCAATTTATCAATTCACAATTATTTATATAAGGATTTTGTATACTAAAATTGTTGAAATCCACTTAGATGTAAAAATGAATTCAAAAATGACATAATTCTATTAAAAAGGAATATTCTAAAATGATCTATTATTCACAGTTAAAATTCACAAAATATATTACGGTAATAAGCGGAGTAGGTGCGGTGATGCTCGTGGTGATAATTTTGAATAACTATCTTTATATTTCTTCAAATAAAAGACACTTCGGCCAGTGAATCTTTTTATTACCTCTTTATATTAGTATATAAAGAGACAAGGGTCGCCTCTCCCGTCAAAATAGACGTCTAAAACAGACGCCATCTATTGACCGTCGCCGCAACTAGCGGCCTCGGGTCGGTGACAAAGCCACAACACCAGCTTTGGCAAACTGAAAAGCGTCCACCTGGAGACCATGGTTTCGGGCTGATGGCCCTCGTCAGTCCAGGGCGGACTTTATTCCATGAGATCCACACGGGATCTAATGGAATCTTGACAATCTGCCAAAGAGGTGTTTTGCTGGCAAAGTGGCTGGGCCATATCTATGGCCAAAATGTTTTAGACGTCTATTTTGACGGGAGAGGCGACCCTTGTCTCTTTAGATCATTTTCCTCCCGGCAAAATTTCCATCTATATTAGTATATATGTCCAATGACAAGTTTCAAGCAGTTCGAATTATACTCAACAAATATTAACTAGGTGTATATTTATAATAAAACCTATCAATATGTCTATTTTTTAAAAATTAAAATATGAGTACACGCAAAGACCCATGTAATTATCAAGTCTATTATAATATTACTACATTGGACAATCGAACAAAACCAGTAATAACAATGTTATCCAAATTTCAGTTTTTCATCAATTACCTTTAGATCTATTTATAAATAACTATAACATTGGGTTGATTGATTGAAGAATTTTATTTCTTTCTTTTAATAGTCATGTCCTTTAGGATCAAATAATTTAATTTAATGAAAACCTAGAAAGTTCAATTTTTTTTGTTATTAAAAGAGAGAGAGAGAGAGAAAAAAAAAGGGGGGGGGGGTATTTTTAAACTGGAGCACTGAACAAAGAAAATATATCAATTGGATTATAGACCTGAATTATAAGGTAGTATGAATAAATTAAATTAAAATATTTGTGTGCGACTCTTTGGCTATAGTGCCGATAGACTAAGGCGAAAGATCGAAATATTTTAGTTGGTTAATAAATTGTCAGTAGATTCATATCAAAATATTTATCTCTAGGGTTAAATATGAAATGAATTACAACTAAAAGTGAGATTGGGAGAAAGAAAAAAGAAAATTTAAAAGATGTTTGTTGTTGTTGTTGTGAGAGGAGGTATGTGGGACAGAGTGTGTGTATGTCCGTATGCGCCTTGTGTGTGTATTGTCCATTATAATCTTTGTGATCAAAGAAAAAGTATCAATTGGATTGGAGACCTGAATTATAAGGCAGTATGAATAAAGCCAATTAGAATATTTGTGTGCGACTCTTTGGTTTTAGTGACTATAGACTAAGACGAAAGATCAAAATATTGTAATCTATATATATATATTTATATCAACATATATAGTCACGACCGTCATGGGCCGGCCGGCCGGTTCTGTCACGGATGCGCGCGCATCATCATTATGATCATTATCATTATCTAATGATAATAATAATAATAATAATTATTATATTATTATTATTATCCATCCATCAACTTATATAGTCACGACCGTCATGGGCCGGCCGGTTCTGTCACGGATGCGCGCGCACAGGGAGGTCACGTGCTCGCCGGCAGCCAACGGGCGCGCGCCGCCGGCATTACGTCATAGATTATAAACACAAGGTAATAAGGCCAAATAAAAAAATAGTGTGTGATAAGGCACAATTTGGATTATCTACTTATATAATTGCCTTATTCTCTCTGTGTGAAGTTCACTGTGTGAAGTTCACGGATAGATTTTGGTCAAAATGGATAAAATAAAAAAAGTGTCAAGGGATGGGAATCGAACCCACGACCTTCCGCTTACCGGGCTTACCTAGGCTACCCTGGACATATTTTTCCGTTCACACTTTTATTTTTATATTTTCAAGACACACACAGTTTGGGGCGGGACGTTTCACAAGAGAGACATCCACGGCGCCAATTTATAATTGTAACGAATAGTATTTTAATTAAAACATTTTAAAAATATATACGCACTCGGGTAAAACCCGGGCGTTGCCCGGGCCATTCGTCTAGTCCCTATATATAGTCACAACCGTCATGGGCCGGCCGGTTCTGTCACGGATGCGCGCGCATCATCATTATGATCATTATCATTATCTAATGATAATAATAATAATAATAATAATTATTATTATTATTCTATTATTATTATTATCAACATATATAGTCAGACCTTCATGGGCGGCCGGTTCTGTCACAAATGCGCGCGCACAGGGAGGTCACGTGCTTAGCCGGCAGCCAACGGGCGCGCGCCGCCGGCATTACGTCATAGATTATAAACACAAGGTAATAAGGCCAAATAAAAAAATAGTGTGTGATAAGGCACAATTTGGGTTATCTACTTATATAATTGCCTTATTCTCTCTGTGTGAAGTTCACTGTGTGAAGTTCACGGATAGATTTTGGTCAGAATGGATAAAATAAAAAAAGTGTCAAGGGATGGGAATCGAACCCACGACCTTCCGCTTACCGGGCAGATGCCATGACCACTAGGCTACCCTGGACATATTTTTCCGTTCACATTTTTATATTTTCAAGACATACACAGTTTGGGGCGGGACGTTTCATAAGAGAGACATCCACGGCGCCAATTTATAATTGTAACGAATAGTATTTTAATTAAAACATTTTTAAAATATATACGCACTCGGGTAAAACCCGGGCGTTGCCCGGGCCATTCGTCTAGTCAACATATATATAGTCACGACCGTCATGGGCCGGCTGGCCGGCCGGCCGGTTCTGTCACGGATGCGCGTGCATCATCATTATGATCATTATCTAATGATAATAATAATAATAATAATAATTATTATTATTATTATATTATTATTATTATTAACATATATAGTCACGACCGTCATGGGCCGGTTATGTCACGGATGCGCGCGCACAGGGAGGTCACGTGCTCGCCGGCAGCCAACGGGCGCACGCCGCCGGCATTACGTCATCCCTATATATAGTCACGACCGTCATGGGCCGGCTGGCCGGCCGGCCGGTTCTGTCACGGATGCGCGCGCATCATCATTATGATCATTATCATTATCTAATGATAATAATAATAATAATAATAATAATAATAATAATTATTATTATATTATTATTATTATTAACATATATAGTCACGACCGTGATGGGCCGGTTATTTCACGGATGCGCGCGCACAGGGAGGTCACGTGCTCGCCGGCAGCCAACGGGCGCGCGCCGCCGGCATTACGTCATAGATTATAAACACAAGGTAATAAGGCAAAATAAAAAAATAGTGTGTGATAAGGCACAATTTGGATTATCTACTTATATAATTGCCTTATTCTGTCTGTGTGAAGTTCACGGATAGATTTTGATCAGAATGGATAAAATAAAAAAATTTCAAGGGATGGGAATCGAACCCACGACCTTCCGCTTACCGGGCAGATGCCATGACCACTAGGCTACCCTGGACATATTTTTCCGTTCACATTTTTATTTTTATATTTTCAAGACACACACAGTTTGGGGCGGGACGTTTCACAAAAGAGAGATCCACGGCGCCAATTTATAATTGTAACGAATAATATTTTAATTAAAACATTTTTAAAATATATACGCACTCGGGTAAAACCCGGGCGTTGCCCGGGCCATTCGTCTAGTCAACATATATAGTCACGACCGTCATGGGCCGGCCGGCCGGTTCTGTCACGGATGCGCGCGCATCATCATTATGATCATTATCATTATCTAATGATAATAATAATAATAATAATAATTATTATTATTATTCTATTATTATTATTATCAACATATATAGTCAGACCGTCATGGGCGGCCGGTTCTGTCACAAATGCGCGCGCACAGGGAGGTCACGTGCTCGCCGGCAGCCAACTGGCGCGCGCCGCCGGCATTACGTCATAGATTATAAACACAAGGTAATAAGGCCAAATAAAAAATAGTGTGTGATAAGGCACAATTTGGATTATCTACTTATATAATTGCCTTATTCTCTCTGTGTGAAGTTCACTGTGTGAAGTTCACGGATAGATTTTGGTCAGAATGGATAAAATAAAAAAGTGTCAAGGGATGGGAATCGAACCCACGACCTTCCGCTTACCGGGCAGATGCCATGACCACTAGGCTACCCTGGACATATTTTTCCGTTCACATTTTTATTTTTATAATTTCAAGACACACACAGTTTGGGGCGGGACGTTTCACAAGAGAGACATCCACGGCGCCAATTTATAATTGTAACGAATAGTATTTTAATTAAAACATTTTTAAAATATATACACACTCGGGTAAAACCCGGGCGTTGCCCGGGCCATTCGTCTAGTATATATGTAGTATATTTCGAGTAATATAGTTCACAGCCTTATTCTAATATTTGTTATAACACCATACCTATGTAAAAATATGTATCAAACTTGGAATAATAGAAGTGACAAATAAAACAAAAGGAGTAGAGGTAGTCCAGACGAAAAAGGCCAGACGTGATAAACAACCCAGACTAACAGGTGTTTATGCTAATGAGTTCATTCCCCCGTCAGCAGGTGGCCGAACAGGTGGCCAGACATAATTAATAACCCAGCGCTTGACAGGTGGCGTGATTACGGGAACCAATCAGAACTCGCCGCCATCTGCGAGCGTCTCATATAAAAGCCCCCCAAGATTGGGACAAAAGTAGTAGTGTTTTAGTTGTTTTCAGAGCGACGCCGTCATACGGTCGGGTCTCTCACCCCTATCCGCGATGTAGACTTAGGGCATCCGTGGCGCCCGTGGTCCGACTTGCCTTCGTCCGTGGTCTTCCTCTACTTCTTGGAGCTACCATCTAGACCTGCCTCTGTCTCTTGCTGTCCCAGTGCGGGAATCCCATCACGCACCCACGACTACGACTGCCCAGTAAATTCCACCTCGGGATTACTACAGAACCCGTTAAAGTCGCCAGGATTACTGAGGACAGCAGCATGCAGAGGATGACGGAGGTCGAAGACGAACACGTCGCGGATGCCCTCACCAACATGCAGCCCCACTACGAAGACCGAGTAGGCCGCCTAACAGACGCCATTCGGGGACTAGCCGTGCCTCGTGCGGAGGAAGCCCTCATCTCCTCTTTCGACGGATCCCACGCAACAAGCAGCCTTCTTCCAAACAGCCATCCCCAGAGATCAACTCCAGCCAGCATCAGCCATTTCAAGGTACTTTAAACTTTGTTTCTGACATTTTCCCCATAAATTTTATATTTTCACTTTAAGCATTTTAAAATCAAATATAACCTTTTTTATATCATTTTTATTCAATTTTTAAAACTTTCATACTCTCATTTATCATTTTTACTTTATTTTAATCAAATTATAAATTTTAATTCATCCTTTTCAATTTTATTATTAAAAATATTTAATCACGCATTTGTGCCAATTTACTAATCTTACATGCCTTTCTTAAATTCACCTAAAATGACATTATCCAAATATGCAACTTTCAATTTTACATAAAAAATCATATTATATTTTAATTACTCGAATCATATTTTCTAAACTCATTTGTGTTATTTTTTTTAATACCTTATTTATGGCCATACTATTAATAATTAAATTTATTACGCTCTTTATTTTACTTAACCTATTTAACCTATTACTATTTCAATTGATATTTCTCAATATTTAAAAGTTTTAAAACTAGTACTAGATTAGTATTTTTACAAATATCAATTTTAAATTATCTCATCTCAAAATGTGCCTCCTATTTTTCCAACAATCGCAAATACAACTATAAATGTAATATGCGAAAACTAAATATCATACCATAAAATTTCCATATCCCATTGCATTTCATTCCTGCCTGTGTTAAATTATCAATTACGAAACTCTACCGAATTCTGTACCCATGCCATAATATTTTCTCTTAAAAAATTTCGTAAATTTATTATTTTATAATTTTTCTAAACCTAATCACCACTAATAATCTCCAATCTGTCGATTTGTCAGAACATCTTGACGCAAAACTTACTGAGAAACTAAGGTTTTTTCATCTAGAGAATCCCAGAACCTCGTGGACGAAGTTAATCAAGATAGTTACTAATAAATATAAAGACACGCCCCATACTATAACATCCCAAAGTTGAAAATTCCCCGAGTTATGTAATGATATAAATCCCAGTATAATAGAAAGTAGAGAAATATCAGTACAACGTACAAATGACAGGCACGACAAAGAGAAAAGGACAATTAATTCCAGTCTTCATCCCAACGACAACAGCTCAAGGACGCGCTGAACTCCCCCCTAATTTTTTTTACTTCGTCTTTTCCCTCCCTACTTCTAAAGGGGTGGAATGACCTTGTTACATCATTAGCATCCATCATTAGCAGAGATATTCCTTCCAACTCTGCCTTCCATACTTCTCTCGTCTCTTGATCATTTTCCATTGGCCTTCTATGCCTTCGTTCTAACCACCCCTCGTCCATCGCAGAGTTCCTGTTTGCCGACTTTTTTTATTTACACCCAGGTCGTCGTCCCAGCATTCTTTATTTCATTCTTTTTTCCTCAAACCCGGGTTCAATCAATCACCGACAGCAGTGCAACTCTTGAGGCACCATCTCTTTTTAACCTCTCTTAGAAAATCTTCTTTCCCATATTCTCCCATTACCTACCTCTCCTTCAATCTTCACAACTTTTGCCCCTCTGATCTAATGCTACTTACAGAACATCTTGAGATTGCTGAACCCTGAAAACAATACTTCGCTTCTAAGCTCGTATTGCAGGGCAGGACTCCTGAGATGTCCTTTGCAGAAACCAATTCAGACCTTCTTCCTTTATTCCTCACTGCGTCACTACCTATCGCAAACCTTGTGCTTAAGTCAAATTTCTTTTATATTTTATTTTACTTTTATTATCTCTACTTCTCCTCCTTCCTGTATTACATCCCTGAAACTATGTTGTAAATATTCAAGGCACCTTAAGTAACAAAAAACTGTAACTAGTATACCAACTTTCCCAAATATTTACTTTCGCTATTCTGTGTGTTTACTTTAAATTTATCCTTCCTATGTACTCCTCTTATATATTTTTTGTAATTTTATAATATTATATCAGTGTGAAACCACTACTCCCCTTTATCTTTATTTTATTCTAATAACTAATTTTTTTGTGCCCCAAATTATTTCCCATTTAATAGATTTGCTAACTTTCCTCTCATTTATTGTAAATAGACTTACAGTTTTACTAGTTTTGTGGTGTTGGACTTTGTTTTTAACTTACAGATGTAGATAAAACCATTCACTATTAATCGATAATATCATTTTGTTTATTAACCATCAACATTAATGCCATCAACTACCAACCAACCCTTTATATATTATTACCTTTAATATTCTTATTTTCTCTTTTTTCTCATCATGTTCAGACTTAGCATTTAACAACTTCAACTATCTTAGGCACCATTTTAAAAAACCTACACCTAACAATATTTATAATATTTCTTTAACAGATAAAACATTTATCATTTTATTTTTCTTTGTAGATTTCAAAATGTTATTTTTGACGCTTCCCTTACAACCTCTAACTCTATCCCATGAACCTTTCCTCCCAACTTTTTTCAGCCATCAAGAGATTATTGTTCGTCAGCCATTTTCTTTTTTTTTTGTTGATTAACTAACTAGAAGACCCTTCCTCGCTGTACATTTCCCAACAGGGAGCTCAGGAGACTCAGTTAGTTTTTAATTTTTTTCTCTCATCGTCCAGCTCATCATTTTTCATTTTTCAACTTTTTATTTTCACCACACAAGCCGGACACAATCAAAATTGACAGCAATAAATCTCTTACACCCACCTCTCCTTTTCCGCATCCTTCAAACCTCCAACCTTCCAAGGGATTCCAGTTCGCCGAACATTTTTGTTTTTTTTTCATTGATTAATCCGACTGGAACAATCCTTCCTCGCGATACCATTATTTTTTTTTCTCATCGCCCGACGCATCATATCAATTCATTATTTTTTCAACTTTTCACTTTTTTTTCACAATTCAACCGGGCACAATCATTATGGACAACAGGGATCCCTCTTACCTCTAACTCTCCCCTTTACCTCCATCAATCTTCCCACCTCTTTCCACTGTCTGAGCTAATGATGCAGACGGAATATCTTAGGCCTTCTGTTAATGAAAACAATGCCTCACTTAAACAAGTTCGCATTGCATTGCAGGATGCTTGGGATACTACTTTTGCAGAAACATGCTCAGATACCCCCTTTCCCTTTTTCAACCTTAGCGTCACATTATAAGTTCAGTCAATAAACTAACTTCATTTTTTTTCTCTCATCTTTAATGCAATAAGATATTACTTTCCTTGTACGATTCATTTTACCATAGTTACCATTTTGTATTATATACCTTCTCTTAATCTTTTATCATTCATTTTGTACGTTTTTATTGATACACCACCCTTACAACATCTTTCTCCTTTTAACTTGTA